AAAATGGCAGTCTTGATTCCTCAGCATGAAAACCACTTAAGGTCCCAATGCTTTCCTTTGTCCTAAAGAGTACAGAGAATCCCCTACTATATTTGAAATGTACGAGAGCTAAATATTCTATTATGTAGAGACTCCTCCCAGAGTCTCCAAAGGTTTTAGCATCTTACAGCAAAAATCTTGAAGTTTGCTGTGCTCTTTTTAAATCAAGAACTGACAATCTGTTTAGAGCTTCCTTGAGCCCTCTATTTTAATGTGCCTTTGTAGACAATTCCCAGTATTTTGTGTCCTTCATCTTTATAATTTATCAGACTTGTCATAAACCCCAATATTCTAATCTCTTACTGAATAATCCGTATCCAGGGTCATTTCTGTTCAATCCTGGCCTTGCCCTGCTCATTCCATTCTTAGCCATTTCCATTGGGTTCACCAGCTAATTCCATTCTCATTCTATCCACTGGATGCACCAGATTCACTCCCCCATTGTATTATTAAAACACATGCCAGGCCAGGTGTGGTGGCTCACACCTGTAATCTGAGCACTTTGGGAGGCGGGGACGGACAGATAACCTGATGTCAGGAGTTTGAGACCAGCCTGACCAACATGGTGAAACCCTGTCTCTACTAAAAAAACAAAACTATCCGTGCATGGTGGTGCATGCTTGTAATCCCAGATAGGAGGCTGAGGTAGGAAAATCACTTGAATCCAGGAGGTAAAGGTTGTGGTGAGCTAAGATTGTGCTATTGCACTCCAGTCTGGCAACAGGAGCGAAACTCTGTCTCAAAAACAAACAACAAATACAACAACAAACATGCCAAGAGACTAAAAAAAGAAGGAAGACTATTGGGCTTTAGAACGAGTTGAAATCTCATTTCTACCATGTCTTATGCCCAAAAAAAAAAAAAAGAAAAAAAAAGCAGCCTAATCTCTTTGAGTCTCAAGTTCGCCATCTAGAAAATCTTTTGACCAGAACATTCAACACAGATTGAAGTACTAGAAGATATTTTAATTAGTCCTAAGACTCCTTAAATTTCTGTAATTTTGTGGGCTTTTGGTTCTGTCTATAGGAAAATTGGGAATACACAGCCAGTAGAATTTGAAAACATAAAAGAAACACCAAGGAAGAAAAGTCATGGAAAAAGAAAAAAAAAAGCATTATGGAAGTAGGCAGAAATGCTAGCCTAAAGGGAAAAAAAACTGGGAAGGTAAATAATTTCTTTCCAGGACTTGCCAAATCACGGTTTTATAAAACTTCCAGTCCTATGGCCAAACCTTTATTCTGCCTTAAAGGCTTTGATTGTTAATTAAAAAAAAAAAAAAAAAAAAAAAAATGCTGGTTACCACAAAAATTGTAAAATTTATTGGGACAAACTCGAGGACTAACCTCATTTCTAGCAGTAACCTAAAATGAGAGTTTAATTTACTCAAACTCATTAATTTAGACATTAATTAAAATAATTTATCTGATTAATGTTATTCAGACCTATACCTTGATCAAAGTGATGCACAGATATCTATCAATCTGTGCTGAGGAACAAGAGAAAAGATTTGAAACCCAGATAGGCTGATGGTTAAACTCTGGGTCAGCTACTTTGTGAACTATGGGATCATGATCCAATTAATCAGCCTCTCTAAACCACAGTTGCCTATTTAATAAACAATAAGTTATAAGAAAACAGACATGATGGCTATATGAGATAAATGCATAGCACATAATAGGGTGGTTAGCCCAGAATGCAACACTCAATAGTTTCTTCCATCTATGTTTTCTTAGTTACCATAATTTTTAAATCTGCAAAATCCTACCTGACTGCAGATTCATCAAAACTCCCAGAATCTTTTAAAGGAAAAGGTAAAATGCATTTTAAATCAATAATGTATAGAATATTAAAACCATAAGAAAGTACAGTGATGCATGCCTGTAATTTCAACTATTTGGGAGGCTGAGGAAGGAGGATCACTTGAGAAACCTAGAAGTTTGAGACCAGTTTAGGAAACATAGCAAGATGCTATCTTCATTAAAAAGTATGCACAGTTGTGTACATGATTTAGATCATTTTTCTTTAAAGTATAAGACTGATGCTTTGTTACAAAGCATTCATCTGGAGCATACCTTGGACCTTATTAGAATTAATATAAATTATACCTATTGGTATGTAATTAATGCAGTAAGAACTCTTAATTCCCTTACTCTGTATTTATTAAGTATGAGTGACTAGTGTCAAAAACCATGATTTCTGGACCAAAATATGAGGGGGGTAGTTAAAACAGAGTAAATAGTAGTACACCTTATCCACTGTATGTGTGGAAAAGACACATATGCCATGTTTTTCTCTGCTCTCACACTGCAGTAAGTCATCAACAAAGAAGGATTCTGTGACCAAACGTGGAGAGGTTTTCCCCACCAACAGTCAAGCAGTCACTTCTGCAGATGACACCAACTGGGTGTCATCTAATTCAGTTCTCACACTCTGTCTGCAGACAGCATCAGATTCCACAGGTAAAGGTCTCAGTCCCATGAGACTGCCTCGCTACATCAGTCCTAAGTCTGAAACTCCAGAACTTCTGACCAGTCAGCTTCAAATTGGGGTTCCCAGGACTCCCTCTTTGGGTTAAACTGAATTGCTGGAATGGCTTAAAGTACTCAGGAAACACACTTAGCAGCATGGTATGAATGACAGTACAAAAGGTAAAGATGAAGAGATGCACAGTGCAATGTATGGGGCTAGTGGCACAGAGATTCCATGCCCTCTCAGGACACACCACCCTCCAGGAACCTGTGTGTATTCAGCGATCTGGAAGCTCTCCAAGCCCAGTCCCTTTGGGTCTGTATGAAGGCTCCAATACATAGGCATAACTAATCAATCACTGGCTGTTGGTGACTGACAACTTTCAGCCCTTCTCTCCTCCCCAGAGTTTGCAGAGTGAGACAGAAGATCTCAACCCTCTAATCAGGCATGTCTTCAGCATGGTACCAGTTCCCATCCTAAATCTACCTAGGAGCTTCCAGCCATCAATCATTAGCATACTAAAAGACATCACTTTGGAAATTCTAAGGATTTTAAGAATTGTACACCAAGAAATGAGTCAAAGTCCAAACACAGATTTTACATCTGCAGTTTTGAATTATGTGGTTACAGCTCTAACAGTTAACTGCATTCCAAACACATTACATTGAAAACTCCAGAAATAAACAAGTCATAAGTGTTAGTGTGCCAGTCTGAGAGGCACAATAAAATCTTGAGCTCTTGCCCACTATCCATCCCAGGATGTGAATCATTCCTTTGTCCAGTGCATTCACACTGCATGTGCTGTCCAGCCCTAGTCATCAACATGGTCTCCTCCTGCATCCCGCCATCACTGTCATTGAGGCCTGAAGGTCCAGGAACACTCAAAGCTGATAATCTTTTTTTCTGACTTAGAGTCAGGGGGTGAGTAGTGACCCAACACTACATGACAATGCCTACGTCATTCACCTCACCTCATCTCATTACATAGGTACTGCATCACTTCACATCATCACAGGAAAAAGGGTGAGAACCATACCATATATTTAAGAGACCACATTCAAAAAACTTGCATTACAGCATATTACTATAATTTTCCATTTTATTAATTTCTTACTGTGCCTAATTTATCAATTCAACTGTATCATAGATATGTAAGTATGGAAAAAAGTGAGAGTGATTCAGTACTATTTGTGCTTTCAGGCATTCACTGGGAGCCTCTGAATGCATCTCCCATAGTTAAGGGGGAACTACTGCACTTAGTTTGTTGTAACACAATACATTCTAGCTCTTTAGTTAAAACTGTTCAGTTTAGGATAAGACACCCTATCACCAAAAGTCAGCAAAACATAAGAATCAGACCAGAAACAGGGATTCTTGCAAAAACTTTCCAGCTGCCAGTGGAGAAGAGCTCAAGGGATATTAATGTGTTACCCTGGCCAATACTCTTGGGGAAGGTGCTGATTGTTTTACTTAGTTGTAGCTATGTGCTCTGCCCTACATAAAACAAGGCCCAAATTCACCTGCCATTTTACCTCCCACAGAAAGAACCACTTGAAAGATGACTGCTTTAAGAGCTTATCCACTCTGAACCACATCACAGAACAAGACTCTGTCTCAACAACAACAAAGAAACCTAATTGTTTCCATGTAAAAATAAGTCTAGGTCCACACCTGATCTGAAGAGTTCACAATGCCATGAGACAAGACAGAAATATATTAAAAAATTAAATTCCTCCTTTCTGTAGAAATAAAACTATTGAATTTAAGCTTTTGTAAGACAAGTCAAGAAAAAGAGCAAAAAATGCAATAGTAAAACTTGAAAGGCCATTTCATAATCAAGGGCTCATGAGACTTTCACAAACTATATATATATTGTTCAAAACCTTGGTTCTGAATTTTGACATGAGTAAGTTGCAGTTTCATTCGCAGATGTTCAAGAGGTCAAATAAGACAATGTCATTTGCTATTTTCATTCTTTTTTTTTTTTTTTTTTTTTTTTTTTTTTTTTTTTTTTTTTAAGAGAACAGTACATTAAACTTATTTAGAGAAATGAGTCGTTGTAACTTCATAGGCTAAAGGCTCAGGAGTCATAATTTTAAGGGCATTTGTAAAATGTGATGGTGCATGCTTGCATTCTGAACTTTTCAGCCTTAAGCTCTCATGTAGTAAATATTCACAGATACAAACTGATTAAACAAAAGCTCCTTTTAATCTGACAGTCTTTTTCTTTTTTTGTTTGAGAGAGAGTCTTGCTCTGCTGCCAGACTGGAGTGCAGTGGGGCAATTTTGGCTCATTGCAACCTCTGTCTCCTGGGTTCAAGCGATTTCTGTCTCAGCCTCCCGAATAGCTGCGGCTACAGGCATGCGCCACCATGCCCAGCTATTTTTTTATATTTTAATAGAGATGGGGTTTCACCATGTTGGCCAGGATGGTCTTGATCTCCTGACCTCGTGGTCTGCCTGCCTTAGCCTCCCAAACTGCTGGGATTACAGGTGTGAGCCACCACACCTACCTATTTTTCCTTTTCTGTTTTTTTTCTTTCTTCATTTATCAGCAACAGGAGAGTCTAATTCAATGTGGTAGAGTGGCATAAGGGAACGCAATGACAAGTATAAAATGAATTAAACCAGAGCGAATCATATCAGTGTGGATACATCTCGAAAATATAATACAAAGTACCCAAAAGAAAGTGGCAGAATGAAATGTAAAGTGTAGAACCACTCACATTCCATTTTAGGACACAAATAAAACTTCTGCATATTATTTCTGAGACTCACAATATAGTTAAGGATTTCAAAAGGATATTGAAATGCAAAACAGCCAGTGATATTGGTAGCCTCAATGCAATTATTTTTTTAAAAAACGTTTATACCAAAAAGTCTCAAAACCACCATTTTAAGACTGTCAGTTATGAATGAATTACTTTCCTAGTTTTTAATAATCAAAGATGCCACAAACACACCCATATACATAGCCATACACACACATGCACACAGTCTGCTCATTAGACCATCTCATTGGTTTCACAGCATTGGTGTAATAACATTAACAGGAAGCCTCTAACATTAATACAGAAACTAATATCTAAATAAAGCATTCCTTTAGGTAAGTATCAGAACTCCAACTAGCACATAAGATACTGGAAATATCTTAGAACCTCAAAATTCACTGCATTGAATCCGACAAGTATAAAAATTCCTTATTGGAAATGTTATGCTATTCAAAATATTAAAATAGAAGCATCTGAGTTAAAACTCATATTTTTAAAATCTTGTTTTCTTATACTTCTAAATTTAATTTTATTGAAACATGAATACCAACAATAACATTTATGTCAATGCCTTCCATTCAATTTAGAATGAAAAGAATTAGGGGTAAGAAAAATGTGAGTACTTCCAATCATTTAATATACTTATTTCCAGCATTCCATTTGTATTGAAAATGTACCTGCTCTCAATGTCTGTACATTCTTTCTTTGTACTGCTTCTGTCACAACACGATCTTCAGTGGTAGGCTGACTTGAGTTTTAAAAAAAAATAATAAATCATATATATTTTATGCAATACAAAGTAACTAAAAATAAATATATATAATTACCTCCAAGGAAGGATGTTATTCAGGAGGCCTTACAAAGGAGAGGGGACACGTCATCAATTATATGTAGATATGACAGGGCCAACCAAACATTCATGCAGTGTTAATATCAAGCTGAGTCCCCATGCCTGGCTCTGAAAACAATTAATGCTGAGGATTCTTTTTGGCATCTTCTTTTATTGCCTAGGACAGCAAGGTGATGGAAATATACTGAGTAAAATAGGAATATAGGATTCCTAAATCACAAACTTTGTATTTCAAAAGTGAGATTGTTTCAAATGCCTGTAACTAAAATAGAAAAGTATGGATATTAATGTGAACATGTTGAGCTGATATGGATAAAAGGGACCATTAAATAGTGGAGCAAATCATAACCTTAGAGAATCAATGTCAAGGCTGATGATGAATGCTACAGAGTATTTAAACTGGAAAACATCAGAGGCATTGATGCCAGAACACTACAAATATTTATCATGTGCTTCCCCTTGTCCTGTCACTTAGGAAATAGACAGTTGGGATGCCAGTTCAGGTGAATGTGTGATTCACCTCTCATCAAAGAAAGTGTTCTAAATTGATCAGCTATGATGCACACTTATGAAATAACAGTTTCTCAAAATTCTCATTTTCCCATGCCCACGTGGATACTGAAGCACCTACATTTCTCATATCCTCTTGTTTGATCTTTTCTTAAGAGTTCCTTGATCCACTCATGCAAGACTTAAAACACATCAAATAAACCATATAGAATAAGCTTTCAGTATCAAAATATTTATCAAAACAGAAAACATTGAATTGCCACAGTCTCGATAGAAAAGAATAAACTTTTATATTTCAAGATCAGTGCAGTATTCTTAGAAAATGACAATTTTGGTATTCAAAGAATAAATTTTATAATACGACTGCTTCTAAAATTAGCTAAGTTCGATATGTCATCTTACTCTATAAACGACTTGTATAAAACAGATATAATATCAAATAACTGGCTAACACCCCCCCCCCCAAATTAGCCAAAATGCAACTTAATCACATCTTATTCACTCATGTCAAAGAAACTTCTTGCTCTGAGGCCTGATAGTTATGAAGAGAAATTAGCTGCTATGCTTTACCCCAGTTCTAGCACTCCTCCTGCCTCCAAGTACCCTCCACAGCAATAACCGCTTTTGCTAGATGGGGCATATGCCCAAGGAACTGCAAGTGAGGTGTCTCAAGTTCCCTTTGTTTTAACTCCAAAGTCCCCCAAGAAACCCTTTTCCCCCCTCGTTGCCCTTTCACAATCCCTTTTCCTTTGCAAAAGTAATCTTTAGATCTGTCATCCTGACGCTTCTCTTCCTAACTGCTTTTTGTGGATAATTGCGACCACTTTTTTCATCTGTGTTCAGCCGTAGTATACACCAAGAATTTCATTTTTCATCTCATTCTGCTTCCTCTGTGGCCAGAATCCTACTTCAGAAATAAAAGGAGAATAATGCCTTCCCTTGATTCTATTATTTTTAAAAATTGCTTTCCAGTGGTTCTTTTTCCAGATTATTCTAAAGGAAGGCTAGTTCCTTGTTACTCAGAGCTATGTCTGAGGAACAGCACCAACACCACCTGAGTACTCCTGAGAAATGCAGAATCCCACATGTGCTGAATGACAATGTCCATTTTCCAGAAGCTCCTCAACTAATTCATGAAAATTTGGATGCCCTGTTCTACACTAATGTGCTTCCACATTTGTTTACCGTAATCATCCATCTGGAACTTAGCCTCAATTTCTTCCCTATTAAGTCCCTGAATTTAATTCTGCATTATAAGCCATTATGTTTCTAATAAACTTAATCACGCTATACCTTCTCTAACTTTCTCTCCATAAATCACAAGACACTATTCAATTATGTTAATATGGCCTATATGATACTATCCGATGAAATTATAACATTTTCTATAAAATTAAATTATGTCCATACATGGCTGACCATTTATGGTGATACTCATCTATGGTAGATAAAACACAGGTGTGTGGTGAGGTACCTCAGTACTTAATGCCTCTCCAATAGTGAGAATGAGAGCAAGAGCAGGAAGGTGTTACTCTAATTCTCTGACACATTTTGGTGCTGAAAGCTCACCTTCTTTCCTATTTCTATCACCCTGCTCTTCCTTCTTCTACAAATCAATTTGACTTTACTACCCTCCTTTACATACACCCACATACTGTTTCTTCACTTATTCCATGTACACTCTGCCCTCCTCATTCTTTTTTATTCATTTCCTCTTCCCTCTTTCCTGACTTGCCTCACATCTTAGAGTATCTTTAAATGGAAACTAATAATTCAGCTCTTTGGCGGTACTCTCAATAGACTCAACTGCTGACCCCTAATAGATATACAACTTACCACCATTTTACTTCTCTTTTCCTTATTATACATTTAATAGAACATTTTCTTTAGCTATTTGAATATATTAGTGCTCATATGTAAAAAAAAAAAATTCCATGAAATGCCTTTTTAAATAAAATAGTATTCTTACCTTCTCCTTTTACATTGTCTGTACTCTGTGTTTGTGTGTATGTGTGTTTTTTCATTGGAAAGTCTAGGTAAAGGCTCCAACACTTTCTCGGGGACATACTGTTGAGGTAATATCAAGCATGAGTTTCCATTTAAAAAATTATAATGAGTTGCATAAAGACATCAATTTTTCTTTTTTTTGAAACAGGGTCTCACTCTGTCACCCAGGGCTGGAATGTAGTGGCATGATGATGGCTGACGGCAATCTTAACCTCCGGATCTCCAGCAGTCTTCCCACGTCAACTGACTGAGTAGCTGGAACTACAGGTGCGTACCATTGTGATAGGCTACTTTTTTATTGTTATTTTTGTAGAGACAAGGTCTCACTATATTGCCCAGGCTGGTCTCAATCACCTGGTGTTTTGTTTTGTTTTGTTTGAGACAGAGTCTCACTCTGTCACCAGGTGCCAGGCTGGAATGCAGTGGCATGATCTCAGCTAACTGCAACCTCCCCCTCTTGGGTTCAAGCAATTCTCCAGCCTCAGCCTCCTGAGTAGCTGGGACTACAGGCCTACACCACCACACCCAGCTAATTTTTTTTGTATTTTAGTAGAGATGGGGTTTCACCATGTTGGCCAGGATGGTCTCGATCCCTCGACCTCATGATCCACCCACCTCGGCTTCACAAAGTGCTGGGATTACAGGCGTGAGCCACCATGCCCGGCCCAAACTCCTGGTCTTAAGTAATCCTTTCACTTCTGCCTCCCAAAGTGTTGAGATAACCAGTGAGCACCACCACACCCTGCACTAATCAATTTACTTAAAAAATTTCAGTTCACCCAAGCTTGGTGACTCACTCTTACAATCCCAGCCCTTTGAAAAACCAAGGTAGGTGGATTATTTGAGCTTAGAGTTCAAGACGAGCTTGGGCAACATAATGAGAACCTATCTCTACAAAAAAAATCCCAAAATGAGTTAGTCATTGTGGGTGTGCCTGTAGTTCCAGCTACTTGGTAGGCTTATGTGGGAGGATTACTTGAGCCTGGGAGGTGGAGACTGTAGAAAGCCAAGATCATGCCACTGCACTCCAGCCTAGGCAACAGAGCAAGACTGTCTCCCCCTAAATTTCAATTTAGTATTTTAAAAGTAATTTGTCTTAAAAAATAAGAGAAGCATGTACTGAAGACCAAAGCATTCCAGTAAAGAATGTCATCTACACTTTCTAGATCAGGCTCATCTGTTATCTTCATATGTCCTTTGACTTACTTATCCAAGCATTTCAGCCCAAAGGAAACATATTCACAGACAGAATATTAGCATGTGCATATTTCAGTCAGAAACTAGCTTCAAAGTATCTAACTCTACTTTGCAGTCTCCACCAAAAATAAGAAAACATTTAAAAAAATACATACTGGCAGCCGAGCACAGTGGCTCACACCTGTAATCTCGGCACTTTGGGAGGCTGAGGTGGGAGCATCATGAGGTCAAGAGATTGAGACCGTCCTGGCCAACATGGTGAAACCCCATCTCTACTAAAAAATACAAAAATTAGCTGGGCATGGTGGTGCGTGCTGTAGACGCAGCTACTCGGAGGCTGAGGAAGACTTGCTTGAACCTGGGAGGCAGAGGTTGCAGTGAGCCTAGATCGCACCACTGCAATCCAGCCCGGTGCTTGGCGACAGAACAAGACTCTGTCTCAAAATATATATATGTGTGTGTGTGTGTGTGTGTATATATAAAAAATATATGGTATATATATATTATATACGATATACATATTATGTTATACATATGGTGTATATATTATGTTATGTATATGTTATATATGTGTGTTATATATATATGTTACATATATATAGGCCAGGTGTGTTGGCTCACATTTGTAATTTCAGCACTTTGCTTGGCCTAGGCGGGTGTATCACCTGAAGTCAGGAGTTTTAGAGCAGACTGACCAATACAGTGATACCCGTCACTACCAAAAATAAATAAATGATCCTGGATTGGTAGTGCGCACCTGTATTCCCAGCTACTTGGGAGGATGAGACAAAAGAATTGCTTAAACACAGGAGGTGGAGGTTACACCACTGCAGTCCAGCCTGCATAAAAGAGCAAGATTCCATCTCAAAACGTTATATACATATATATATGAAATATATAATACAAATAAATATATATTATTTGGTGTAATACAGTATTAAAAAATTTAAATATCCTCATATAAATATTTCAGTGTTGATATTTATAATAGAAAATTTGGAAATATGTCATATTGAGCACTAACGAACACCATAGAAGATGCTTCATTTAGGTAAACAAAGACTTGGAAAAACCTGCATTTTTAAAATAAAATCCTTACTGATAGAAAAACAAAGTTTGAATGAATGATAATGTAGTAATAAAATTTTTCTGTTATATTTAAATAAAAGCAAGCAGATATGTGATCAACTGTGAAAATACTGAATTTTTTTAAATTATATTTTTAGTTCTGGAATATATGTGCAGAACATGCAGGTTTGTTACCTAGGTATACATGTGCCATGGTGATTTAGGGCATCCATCAGGCCAGGGGCAGTGAATCAAACCTTTAATCTTAAGACTTTGGGAGGCCAAGATGGGTAGATTGCTTGAGCCTAGGAGTTTGAAACCAGCCTGGGAAAAATGTCAAACCCCATCTGTACGAAAGACACATAAATTAGCTGGGCATAGTGGTGCATGCCTGTAATCCCAGATACTGAGAAGACTGAGAAGGAAGGATCACATTACCCTGGAAAGTCAAGGCTGCAGTGAGCTGAAATTGCACTACTGTACTTTAGCACAGGCAACAAAGTGAGACCCTGTCAAGAAAGAAAAGAAGAAAAAGAAAAGGAAAGGAAGAGGAAGAAAGAAAAAAAAGAAAAAAAGAACGAACTTCAAAAGTATAGCAAGCTTTCTTTAAAAGGAAAAAAAAAATATTTAGGAAGCATCTAAAATGTGCCAGGATTCTATTTCACATTTGTTGTACATAGTGTAATCATAAAAAGTAATTATGATGGGCCGGGCGCGGTGGCTCAAGCCTGTAATCCCAGCACTTTGGGAGGCCGAGGCGGGTGGATCACGATGTCAAGAGATCGAGACCATCCTGGTCAACATGGTGAAACCCCGTCTCTACTAAAAATACAAAAATTAGCTGGGCATGGTGGCGCATGCCTGTAATCCCAGCTACTCAGGAGGCTGAGGCAGGAGAATTGCCTGAACCCAGGAGGCGGAGGTTGTGGTGAGCCGAGATCGCGCCATTGCACTCCAGCCTGGGTAACAAGAGCGAAACTCCGTCTCAAAAAAAAATAAAAATAAAAAAAAAATAATTATGATGGCTTTCTGCCCATTCCAGGGTGTTAAGAGCAAACTGATGAATAGATATGATCTTCTGTTCTCTCCATTCAGAATTTCCTCCTCTTAGACTTTCACATGGCTGGCTCTTTCTCATCCTTTAGTTGGCAGCTTAAATCTGATACTCAGAGAGCTGTTCTCTGACCACAGATTTCCAGTCCTACTCCCATTCCCATTGTAACTACAAACTTTCTTGTTATCTTCTAACATTTTCTGTTTTCTTTATAGAAAGCATTTATAATGAGAGTATTTGCTGTTTGTTTTTCTGTTCCTACTACTATAGCATAAGATGTCATCTTGTATATTCAGCGTCTTACTGACTAGCAGTTTGTGATCTATAACCAAAATAAATTCTAGGTCAAAACACTTAAAATTTCATCAGAAAGTCTCATGTGCCAAACCGTATGTTCCTACAGGACATCTTCATTCGTAGTAGCCTGCTGAAACTGAACACACCCGTACCCCAAATTTAAAATCCACATGCCATTTCCTACTTTTCCATTCTTTTCTTGATGCTACTGCCATTTTATCATCCTTCAGGTTTACAAAAATTTTCCTCGAGATTTACTAAGTCATGGAATACTGAATACTGCTCTGATCATTTTGTCTCACATTTGTAAGCATATTTCGCAGTTTACAAATGTTTTTACATTTCCCACTACTTTTGTTCATTACACATCCCTCAGAGGTACCATTAGTACCATTTTTATTAACGAGGTCAATGGCAATCAAAGAATTTTTCCCAAGGTCACATACCTAGTAAGTGGCAGAACCAGGATGCTAACATGTCTTTTGACTTCTACTTGGTGCGGGTAAAATTAAGCACAAGCTGCTTCTAGCGAAAAATCAGGCCCCTCCCATTTCTCTCCACCGTCATAACATTAGAGTACACAATTATTACTTTATACTTCTTCTGCTATAAGTGTGGCTGCCACAATAGTACTCAGTGAGTTCTCTTTTTGAAAATGACTTCCACTTACAACACTAAACTATTGTAATTACAGTCCCACATAGTTATTATTCCTCATTTTTTATTAACCTAAAATATTAATTGTAGATCTATACTGGACAATCAAAATATATAAACATACTAAAATCCCAGCATTATCTTTTCAAGTTCCAATTTCCATAAAAACTACAATTCAAAACTGTCTAACTGTCCTTTTGATTTTGCACATCCAGATATACCACAGAATGATACATTTGGCCACAGCTTAACCTGAAATAATTATTTAGATTTTAGATAAACTTATTTTCAGAACACAAAATGATTTTTCACAAATTCTAAACTTAATTTTTCTGGCACTATACTACACTTGCTTCTCGAATGATGCAGATTGCAAAATTATACTATGAAGCAGTAATTTACTTAGCACATAATTACTTTATTAGTTATGAGCTAAAAAATGAGAAAATTGATTGTGGGCATATGCAGGAGGCAATTATTTGCACAAATCACTTCTTGTGGGGGAAAATGAGAATTTATCGTAGTACCTTATTTAAGTGGGTTGTCATTGCAAATAGTATTAATTGCTTTTATTCTGTTTGTCAAAAAGATGAAGATAAATGTATACATTCAGCTCTTCCAAAGAAAAAAAAATGAGTAAATCTTGTGGGCAATAATCGTTGAATGAAAGCCACACATACATAACTAAAGAGCAAGCTGTAGCTAAATGTGCTGACAGTGAAGACACAGATGGACTGAAAGACCAGTCACTAAATAAATGAGATCTGTGAGAAAAAAATTAGGTGGGGATAAATCATTTTTAAAATGTGAGGATGAAGGGAGAAACAGCAAAGAAGCCTAACTAGTCAATTTAATATGAGCTTCAGCCAAGAAAAGAAAAGAAACAACATGACATACAATAAAGTACATGGAGAAATAGATATGTAACAGAGCCTTTTGTTCCTTTATAGCCCTAACAATACAGGTTAATACTTACGCTACAATTAGTTTTGAAAAAATATTTATGTGATACAGAGTTTAATCTTTTTACTACAAAACATTCAATTAGCTAACCATGTTCATCTACCACTACCTGAAAGACTGT